TATGCTTCAGTGAAGATTGGAGGCTGGGCCTGCACTGTGCAGTTGCAAATGTGCTATGGTTAAGAAAAAAGAATTGCATTTTTCATTAACATAAACTGTGGAGCCTGCTATAGCAGTGTGTGTGTGTGTGTGTGTGTGTGTGTGTGTGTGTGTGTGGAAATTTTATGGAAAACTGATAGAACTAAAAACTACATAAAATCCTGAAATTTCAACATGGACTCAACATTACATTGATTCACACATTTATATAGGCAAGAAATGGCTGTTTGTCTATATAAAAATATGAAAGATCTCTAAGGTTATGCAACAGAAACAGAGTTTTTACGTAGAAAATTTCAATTCCGACAGTATTGTAGAGAGAAAAAAAAATCAAAAGATTCAGTGGGGTACAACAGAGTTTAGAGGTAACATCAGAAGAGCAGCAAGCTTAGAAAGTTACAAGACAATGCACTTACAACCTCTGTCTTGCCCTACAGCTGGATCTCTGTAGTTTGTACAAATGAAAAGTGCTTTTTATGACTGTATATTTGGCAATTCACTTGATGGCATCAACACTTTTTTTCTTACTGGAAAGAACAGGTTGAGACAAAACTGTTGGTTCTGAGCCAATTCATATACTGAGTTCCATGTGCACTATGGAGATTTGTGTTTTTATAAGCAGAATAATATTTAAAGAAGGAATTTCTTTACAGTTAAAAAGAATGAATGTAGAGTGCTGACACCCTCTAGCCAATATCCAATTTGTATCTATATGTATTTACACACATGAATACACTCATATAGTACAAGAGTTAAGACAAAGTTCTAGAGAAAGAAAATTGTCCGTGTTACAAAAAAAAAAAAAAGATAATATTTATAGCACAGGGTTGAACTATGGGGTCCTTGTTTTGGTCTTTTTGCTTCCTGTTTAACTTTCTGACCGTGTGCAAGTAAGTTTCCCTCCTTCCCACCCTGAAACTACTATTTATTTATTTATATCCCACTTTTATTATTTTTTACAAATGACTCAAGACAGCAAACATATCTAACATAACTTCCTTCTCCTATTTTCCTCACAACAACAACCCTGTGAGATAGGCTGGGCTGAGAGGAAGTGACTGGTCCAAAGCTTTTGTGGCTAAGGTGGAATTTGAACCCACAATCTCCTGCTTTCTAGCCTGGTGCCTTAACCACTAGACCAAACTGGCTCATTACAGTACACTACAGCAACTATCTAAGACTGGTTTATTTTCAGCACAAACAATGCAATTATATTATCATGTTTCTTTCCCTAATAGCACCACAATGTTTAGGAAGAATGAATATTGTCACCCACTGTCACCTCACGGCTTGATACTTTGAATGATATTCCCCTGAAGGGCAATTAGCTGAAGTTTATTAGAGCAACATGAAGAACCCTCTTACAAGAGAAACTCCACCAGATGCAATTTTCAAAAAAGCTTAAATGTGCATTTTTATGAAAGCAATTTTAGTGTGGCTGCTAGTTAAGTACAATTTCACTAATTTTTTTTTTTTATTCTTAATGTAAGTTCTTAACTTTGGAGAGCACAAAAACAGAAGTAATTTCAGAGTGATAACTGGTTTATTTGTATCAGATGGTAGACAATTTAGGGAAATGTAACCCAAATCTATAGATGATCTTAAAAGTATTTTGGTGATTGACATCTGGAACAATCTCCTCCCTGGCATGCCACAGGCCCCAATTCTACTCACATTTAGGAAAGTAGTTAAGAATTGGCTCTTCCACCAGGCACAAGGCCAACTGAGTAAGAGATGCACCTTTGGGTGGTTCTGTTATATACTGGTCGCCATTTTATACTTTATACAGATAATCCTCAATTTACAACCATAATTGAGCCCACAATTCCAGTCATAAGTCATGATGGCTGTAAAGCAGGTCACCGCATCACCGTGTCTGATTTTATGACCTTTTTTTGTGGCAGTTATTATGGGAACACTATGGTAATTACATGAACCCATTCTTCACTATGCCAGACGCCAAAAGTAAATGTTGGTTTCCAGCAAAAAGGTAAATTGTGGCTGTGAGACACTGCAAACAGCCAGAAAAGTGGGCCAGTTATCTGGGCCCCGAAATGCATTCATGTAGTTTTGAGGGAGTGGGTGGCGGATGTCAGAACTATGAATCTGGGTCATAAGTAACTTTTTCGGTGTCTGTGCTAACTTTGAACAGTTGTTAAGAAACCGGTTGTAAATTAAAAACTATTGTATTTATACTTTGGAAAGACTTATTGTTAAACAGTCAGTTTTTTTATTGCTTGTTTTAATCCTGTACATTATCCAGAATCACATTGTTTGGGTAGCACAGTATTATATATTTTGAAAATAAATAAATAAATGGTTCTGTTTTGTTTATCAGCCTCATTTCTAAAAAATAATTCAACCAGAGTACCAAAGTGATAAAGTGAGGCTGAGTCTTTCTTTTTTTGTTGTTATTTTGTTTTGTCCCTCCCACTCAATTCCCTCAACACTGTCAAACTATTGACTAAGTCTGCATTACTATTACTATTAATCCTCCCATCCTTCCTTTCACCCTCCTCTCACAACTGTATGATTGCAACTTTGTTGCTTGTATCCTAACAATTTTTATTGAACTGTTTCCTAGTATGATTTGATTGCTTATTGTACCCTATGACTATTATTAAGTGTTATACCTGATGATTCTTGACTCTTGACAAATGTATCTTTTCTTTTATGTATACGAAGAGCATTTGCACCAAGACAAATTCCTTGTGTGTCCAATCACACTTGATCAATAAAGAATACTATTTCATTCTATTCTATTCTACTCATCCATGGATAAAACTTTAGCTTGTTCTAGGTAGGAATTTTAGATATTATATATGTGAATACACACATAATGTATAGGTGTGAACGTATGTTTATTTAAAGAATCAAGTGTGAATATGAATTTATTTTCATATCATTTGTTTGTGTGATTGTCCATTAGATCATATACCTAGACCCATAAAATAAAGACTTTAAAGAATATAGAATGGTCTCTTCTTCTACCACAATATCACAGAACAATCACAACACTCTTAAAACTTTACATATGCAGTAACTTACCATTTGTACTTTATACTATTTTGGACATGTACCATTTTTGCCTTTCAAGGATCTGCTTTTGCTCATTTAGTTCAAAAATTGATAGAAAATACATTCCGGATTCCCAGAGAATATTAAACTATAATGCATGGTTGTAAAACTTTTTATTCAGGTGGAAGAATATATAAGTAGCAATTATACCAGCCTCCTATTTCAATTTGCCAAATGTGGATTAAAATGTATGCCCAAGTCTAAGGAACAGAGTTTCCAACAAGATTTTATTTAATCTTAAAAAATAATTTTCCTGACATAGTGTTCTGAGGATAGACTTTCAAAGTAATCTTCCTAAGAATTTTTCTTCATATATTTAACCTGCAGATAATATTCTGTAAACCAAACCTGAACCTTGAGAGACATGGTGGCAATGAAAACCAGAACCTTGCCAACTAGAGCATGTTGGTTGTGGGAGTCCTTTTTTTCTCATGCACTTACATTTATTTTGCAACTGGAATATGTGACTATTCAATGCTGATGATTATCGTTTGCCTTTTTTTTGTTGGCTTACTGTTGTACTGTGTTATAACCAAGGTGGTCAAGGCAAGGCAGGCCTTTAGAGAATTCTTTATTGCCCTCAAGAATATTCAATAACTGACTCTCCAACAACCAAAAAGACTCCATCCCATGCTACCCTGAAGACAGCCACCTCAGTCCTCCAAACAATAGCCCATAATATTACCAGGAAGGTCCGAAAGACCAGGCATAAAACAAGTGGCAGTCCTGAAAGCAAAGACAGGGTACAAGGCAAAGGCAATTCTGGAGTACAGTCCACAGGGTTTGGGTAAAGCAAACAGCACAGCAAAAAGCAATCCTTGAAGCAAGGCAAAAAGGCACGAGTCAAAGCCAGGGGAATGTAACTCCAAATGAACATTTGTTCCTGGCAAAGAGTAACTTTCCACAGTTTCTATTCCAGGTGTTCCTTGTGAGGATGGCTGATGCAAACCTTCTCCCGAGCAGCTTTGCAGCCCTTCTCTCCGCTTGCCTATGCTCCCCTTTTCATGCCCTTGGATGGAGTGGAGGAGGCAGCTATTCCTCATCAGAGGAGATCTGCTGCCTATCAGCACCACTGCCTATCAGCAGCAGATCCTCCCCTGTGTCTGTGAATGCAGGCAGTTCTCTGTCTGGTCAACCATTTCCCCCAATGACTGAGGGACAGCATCATTGTCAGCCCAAACATGCCAAATGAGACATGTCATTCCTGTCGGATGGTCCCAGTTCCAACTCCTCCTCCTCTTCCTCCTTCTCCTCCTCCAAACTGGGCTCCAATGGGGCCATGACATACTGTAGTTTTATTATTTGCACCCTATCTTGAGAATCATGGTGGACTGGAAGCAGCTATTAATTAAACACAAAAGGGGTTGCCACAAAGAAGAGGCAGTCAACCTGTTCTCCAAGGCACCCAAAAGCAGGACAAGAAGCCATAGATGGAAACTAATCAAGGAAAGAAGCAACCCAGAACTAAGGACAAAATTCCTGACAGGCAGAACGATTAATCAATGGAACTCCAGAAGTTGTGAATGCTCAAAATGTCAACTAAAAAGATACTCCTTTGGTCTTTTTAGCTGCCAGAAAAAAAGGGAGTGGGGGAAAACAAGGCATTCCTTAAATGCCTAGATAATCAACTCAGCAGCCCAAAATAGTTGGAGCATAAGAAGGTTATTGGAGAGCATGATGGATGACTCTTGGAGATGGATGTGCCCCATTGGACAAGTCACATCCAGGGGCTGGGGGGAAGACCAGGGTCAAGGGAGAAATTATGATGTAATTTATTTGGAGAGAAAAATGCCTTAATTAGCTCTCTCTCTCCTTCTTAGAAAGCAGCATGCTATAAAGAATAACAAAGAGAATATTAGAAAATCAGATTAACTGAGACTTACTTTGCTTTTGCTTCAGCATCCTCATATGCTTTATTGGAAACATCATCCAGGCCTCCAATCAAATGTTTGAAAGAGCTGTAAAATTAAGACACAATTTAAAGAAAATGTTTCTGATATAACTGAAGAGTTGCAAAGATTCTCTATTGGGCAAGATCTGCCTAAGGTCTTATAAAATACCATGACAAAATACGCATGTGCACCACAAATAGATTACTATGCCAATGATTTTGATTCAATGTCTATTTCTCAAAAACAAAAGGCTTCCATTGGACCACGAAATCATGATTAACATTGATTTTATTTCTATTTTATTCACTTATTTCATTTTTATCCCATTACAACCAAAACTATTCCTGAAAGTTAATTTAACTCAGTGTCCTCTTGAGTAGAAGGCTCAGAGTTTTTTAGCAGGTGGAAGAGGGAAGATATAACAATAGTTAATAAATAACACTTTTTCGGCATATGGAAGAGAGAGGTGATATAATAATAATAATTAAAAAAAAGTAAATAACATACAGAGAGTATTTGCACCAATTCCTGTGTGTCCAATCACACTTGGCCAATAAAGAATTCTATTCTATTCTATTCTGCATTGGGCAGCATACAAGTTTAATTTATTATTATGGTTTGGCTATCCAGTCTAAACATCTGGCTGACTGCCACCAATAATAATAATAAAAATAAATAAAAGTTAAAAAGAACAAAATAAGAAATGAAACCTGTATGCTGCCCAACTCCTTGTAGTCTTTGCTGATTGCTGTTCCATTTCAAATTACCATGACTGAGGAAAAAAGTATTTTGGAATATATCTAAAATTGAGATAGAAAAAAAAAGGAAATTTTCCAGTATTGAACAAGATGTTTCTCAGCAGTTGTCTTCTCTGAGATTTAATTTCCTCTAACGTAGGAGCAGAATGCATTTTGAGACGTGCTTGGTGCTTTCTGAAGTTGGTTGTTTTCCTGCAGACATTTCATTACCAAACTAGGTAACATCATTGCTAGAGTGTTAACTACTTTAGCAATGAAACATCTGAAAGAAAACAGCCAAGTTCTGAGCACACCGAGGACCTCATTTTAACCCTGAGCTACAAATATTCTCTCTTTTTTTTTTTTTGGTAGAATGCATTTTACTAAATATGAATTTACCTAATATTCTTCCAATAAATATTAAGTTTCTGAATATTTTAACAGCATCAACTGTTATTTCATCCCCATAACCTTGTCTCATATACAAACCCTGAAAAAATTGGAGGACAAAGACTATTAACTTCCCCTTACTCCTTGATTAGCAACATTGAAATTTTCTTCTGTTCATCACATGGGAGAAAGACAATACATTAAAGGTTACTTCTAAGATAAATATTACTGTAATGAGGCACCTAAATACATAAGATATGTCCTTATTCTATCTGCTGAGCATTAATTATAAAAACTTAATGCTTTTATTGCAGAAGATCATTACTTTGATTTGTCATAAGTGATTGACATTTCCTTTTCCCAATAATAAATAAATCTAAGCATCTTCTAGCCAAAATCTGTAAGATAAAAATACTGTATCACTGAGAAACATCAATATGTAGATTTTGTGTCCTGTTAGGGAGAAAAACATTTTATGTCCCGACAAAATAATTAATATGAAATTAAAGAGAGTACCTCTGTCTGACACCCCTTTTTAACAAAATAAGGTCATACCAAGATGTTTATTGTGTCATCTTCACCTTCACATTAGAATGCAACTCAAGCGTTAACTTAGGCCTATCAATGTCAGTTGTCTTGCATTTTCCCCACAATGTAACTTATCAATAGGATTAAAAATGCATGTAAGATCAAGAACTAAGGGGCCACTACTATATTTATGCAGCATGACCTTCAAAGCTACACAAAGTTGCATCCTTATAATGCATTTTATAAAAGGTCCTTATAAAAGCCAGGCTGGTTTGAGTAAGGTTTTCCTTTCTCTGTATTAGACCTCTAATTTGTTTAAAAGCTACTGAGTGCATAGTTTGGAGAAAACATACACAAGGGGTAATAATTAAAAGATTACAATGTATTGTCTTTCTAGTTAAATTGTGTAAATAATACATTGTCTCTAATTGCCAAGCCTTCAAATATTTCACACTAAGTTAGATGAATAAGTATGGGCAGTTTTAGAACAGAATGAGGCACTGAGTATATAGGGTATCAGAAATTGTTCAGAGGAATGTTTCAAGTGAAGCAACATCATGATTGGTGGTACAGTGGTTAGAATGCAGTATTGCAAGAGAACTCTGACTGCAACCTAGAGTTCGACCTTGATGGGGCTCAAGGTTGATTCAGCCTTCCATCCTTCTGAAGTCGGTAAAGTGAGTACCCAGATTGTTGGGGGCAATATGCTGATGTTGTAAACTGCCCAGAGAGTGCTGTAAAGCACTATGGGGTGGTATATAGATCTAAGTGCTATTGCTATCTTGACTCAAATGTCCAGGTACATCTTAGAAGATGGTCAATGTAGTTTCAAGGGCTTTGGAGTGCTCATACAGGTACCTCTTTAATAATCTTCTCAGAAACTGGGAGGGAAGGCAATTGGTTTGATAAAATTCACAAGCTTGGAAAATCTTTGTATCCTTTCAACAAGATGGATATCAACATTATCAACAAAATATTATTAGCAAGAGAATAAAGATATACTTTTAACACTAAATAAAAAGTACCACCTGTCCAATTCTCTCACTTATTTCCTTTTCCATAAATCTAGTTAAAGAAGTCTCTGTGAGAAACTTGCTTTCAGGCCTAATCAACTATTAAGAAGCTAAAAGCATCATTAAAAATACTTTAGGACTGATGATTTGCACAGTCCCAATTCACTATGAATATTTCAGGTAACACAATGTCCCATCAGGAAGTTTTCTCGTAGTCCTGTTACTAATCACCTGTATATGTTCTGATCCTTAAGCTGTAGGCTACACCAACACTGAATGAATAGTTAATTCCTTATGAATAACAGAATCGCTGAAAAACAGTGAAACCGAGTTTCAGCGGCAATTGTATGTGTAAGCATTTATTAAAGCATAAAACCATGTTTTCAATCTTCTATAAAATATTAAGATCAGTTCCCATTCATTGATCAACATAATGATAAAATATTCATATTTGATTAATTAACTATTTATTTAGCCTATGGCAAATGAATTAATAACATATTACAAAGTAGGAATGAAAAAGAATTTGCATATCTCATAAAATTAGTTTTAATAGGTAAATTGAAAAGTTAATTGATAAAATTGCTAGCCAAAATAGGATGCTTCTAATTATCAGCAGACAATTAGTTTTCAATTTTCATATTTTTCAACATGAAGAAAAAATGAGGAAATGACAGGAATAAGACCTAGAAAAGTCCATTGTTAAGGTACAGAGATCAGTAAAAATACCCACAAATTGAAAATGATCATTGGTGGCTTTGTGGCAATAGGATATGGAGGTATTTTTCTATTTCAGGATGTTGGCTACTCAAAATAATTTTGGAAGAGATAATGATTCTGAACCTGGTACTTTTTTACTCAGAAGAAAAATGTAATAGCAATAGTACTGAGACTTATATACTTATATACCACTTCACAGTGCTTTACAGCCATCTCTAAGCAGTTTTACAGAGTCAGCATATTGCCCACAACAATCTGAGTCCTCTTTTTACTGACCTCGGAAGGAATGGAAGGTTGAGTCATTCTTGAGCTGCTCAGAATCGAACTCCTGGCAATGGACAGTGAGTTAGTAGTCTACAGTACTTATTCTAACCACTGCACCACCACGACTCTTATTGCAGCTAACTCCAATTTACATGGCTAGAAATGGAAACAAGACATTGAAACTATGGAAAGAGTGCAAAGAAGAGCAACAAAAATGATTAGGGGACTAAAACTAAAACATAAAAAGAGCGGTTGCTGGATGATGGGTATGTCTAGTTGAATGAAAAGAAGGACTGGGGGCGGGGGCATATGATAGCAGTGTTCCAATATCTAAGGGGTTACCACAAAGAAGAGGGAATCAAGCTATGCTCCAAAGCACCTGAAGGCAGGACAAGAAGCAATGGATGGAAACTAATCAAAGGAGAGAAGCAACTTAGAACTAAAGAGACATTTCCTGACACTTAGAACAATTAATCACTGGAACAAGTTGCCTGCAGAAGTTGTGAATGCTCCAACACTGGAAGTTTTTAAGAAGAGATTGGACAACCATCTGTCTGAAATGGTACAAGGGTTTCCTACCTGAGCAGCAGGTTAGACTAGAGGACCTCCAAGGACCCTTCCAATACAGTTATTCTGTTAAATGAACTAGACAGATAATTTAAAAAACATAGTGTACCAAGGCACCCCACAGTATGGATAGCTTATCCTCCAGGCACTGATATTTACTGTAACTACATTGGACCAGACACCATGATTGGCCATTGTGCTTCCTGGATACAAAGAGAACTAAAAGTTATCCTTTCCTAGCTGAGATCTAATGGAACAATTTGTCTTGGCTCAGCAACGGAGTGCATGCCTGTGTATGGTGGTGGTAGGACAGGAATAGTTATTGTTTTTGCATTCCTTAATGCTAATTTAAGCATTTCCTGTCAGTTTTGACCCCAAAGTTTATGACCTGGCTCCAATTCTCGGCTGGTGCCCTCAACTCTGATTCTCTGGCTCACTTCTTAGGGCTGTTGACAGTTCTCTTTATCACAAAGTGCTCATTACGTTCTGTTTGCTGCCTATTTATGTGACTCATTGCTCTTTCCAAAAAGTGCATCCAAGTGAACAATCCAATTTTTATGATACAGGCTTGCATGGAAATTATCAACTCTCTTTAAGAGAAATGTCTAGCGCAGAAACCTTCAGCAGGCACTACTCTAGAGCAAACATTCTTATTATTCTGTCTAAACTCACTGAATATTGCGGGTGTGTGGAATCGCTATATAAAGGGGATTGAAATTGTCTTGAATAAAGAGGATCAAGTTTGGTATAGCAGCAGAAGCTTACAAAAGAAAGTGGAGTAAAAAAAATTGGCCAGATCCATTAGTGCCATTTTGGGGAGGGGGGGCGGAATTCTCCTAACTTATCT